GAACAAAGTATGATGATTTCCAACATTTTTATACTTTAATCAAGAGATTTGCAGATGATGCTTTTCTATGTTCATACGCAAAGCATCCCTTGGCTGTGAAAGGCTGGACCAGATGCCGAGAGAAGGAGAAAGTGGAAATCCTGCCCCAAGGAGTGGTTGAAAGGATCTTGGCTGTGGACACTTACAACATCTACAGTGCTGTGTGGGATGTTGTGACCTCCATAAATGCTGCATATTCATCCAGATCCAAGAGAATGGTCATGAAGCACAAGAAGAGGTTAGAAGGTGAAAAGCTGCAGCCATGGCAGGTATTTCTTTTTCCCAAACACAGACAACTCTGCCTCTTTTCTCCCACTTAACACTGCTACTCAGAGAGTTGCACAGGTTACTGTAGGCTTTGGGATGCAATTCAAAGGTGCTGGTTGTCATTTTTAAAGCCCTTCATGGCTCCAGAAGTCTTTGAGACTACCTGTTTCCAATAATTTCTGCCTGTCCAGTTAGGTGCTCCAGATCTCTCTCTTCAAGTAACTCATCTGCTTCTCAGAGGTGATGCCTCTCAGCCACAGCCCCCTCTTTGGAACAGCATCTCACCAGAGGTTGATCCTGCCCTTATATTACCAGGATGTAGGAAAGCAACCAAAACTCAGTTATTTCTGCAGACCTTTGAGGAGGAGATGCATTGAGAGAGGTTCTTCCTGGGAATGAGTTGATTTAAGTTTCATGGTTCCTCAACATGGTACCATTTTACTAGTATTGTACTGAATTTGTGGATGTAAATATCTGCTTTATTTCTGTTTATGCAGGATATGATTGTAAGATGCTTGGAGTTGGTCAGCGATTGAAGCGGCTTTTAAGTCTAGTGAAATAAATTAACAAATAAACAATAAAATTCCAGCAACGGAATGATTTGGTAGACCCCAAGGATGAGCATGAGGGCTGAGACTTCTTTGTCTTCTTCCTCACTGCCTTTCTGTGAACCAGGGTAGAGGTGGATCTCTTCACTTCTAACCCAGAAGCTTGCGGTGGCTTCTTTCTGCAATTGTCTCCTGCATCTTCATCAGTCTGAGAATGAACCATGACATTCCCTGTCAGAATAACTCTCCTTTTTTCTCTGTTTTCTTTCACATTCAAGCTTCACCCTTTCCTCCAAACTACCCAGTTTCACAACACTTCCACAAAGAGAGTATATTTGGATGAGTACGGAGAACTGGTGGCTGATTTTGACATTATTGCCTGGGTGAAGTTTCCCAATCGTACTATCATCAGGATAAAATATGGAAGTTTCACAAGACGGGAGTCTCTGAAACCTAAACTCTGCATCAGCCAGGATGCCGTTATGTGGCCCAAATGGCTCAACCAGGTGGAGCAGATCACTGACAGTATTTCTTCATCTCCTAACCTCTATCTTAATTCTACATTCTATATCCCTCTGTCATGAGCCATAGTCCTGAGCCACCGTGTGTGCTCTTGGCTTCTTTTTTGATCACTTTCCATTATTTCCAAAGTTCAAAGCCCACTCCAATGACTCTTTCCTTCAAGATACGTGTTCAAAATATTTGAGCTTTAGCTTCACAGTTAGTCTTTCTCTGAGACTTCTTGTTTTACTCCAGCTCTATTGAATTATTTCTTCTCCTGAACTCCCAGCAGTTCTTAACCTTCTTCTCCAGCAGCACAATTCAAAGGTATCCATTTTTATGTTCAGCTGGCACTGAGATTATTTTAGGATGATTTTCACCTTCATTCACATATCATAAGACACGGTGCTGGCTGCCAGCTTGGCTGGCTTCAAAAAGGGGTTGGATCAATTCCTGAAAGTCACGGGGATCAAGGCTATTAGCTATTAGCCTTTATGGCAGTCTGACTGCCTCTGAAGGCTGCCTGCTGGGAAACTAGTGGGCTTCCTCGTGCAGTTGGTTCCCCACTGTGAGAACAGACTGCTGGACTAGGTGGGCCAAGGGCCCAATCCAGCAGGGCACTGCTTACATTCCTATACAAATGTTCCTTAAGTCTGCCTTGTTTCTAACTGGCATCAATGGCAGATGGGAGTTTGTTGAAGTTTCTCCTGGTCATTTTAATTCTAGCTTACATTTCTTCTCGTCCAGCATTTCTTCAGCTATTGTTTTAAATATGTCATTATGAGTGTGCATGGCACTTTGAAGAGTAGAAAAATAAAAGTTCCTACGCCCAGAGAGTTTATCTTCTAATCCTTGAGAGAAGGAAATGGTAGAGAAGAGAAACGAAAGGTATCTCTGCATTTTGATTTCTAGCAGTTGTGGTGCTGATTTTTTATGATTATTAAGACAAACTGCCCATCCAAAAAAGCATTTAAATATGTATAGGCATCTCTGTTTCATTGTCAGTAAAAATAAATAAATAAATGTTCTTCTCTCATGTCCTTTAAATCTTTCTAGAAGTAGCAAAAGAAGTGGAATTATGGTACATTCTTTTATAGTAGAATATAGGGTATTTAATGCCCTTTGATTATAAGCAGCTAGTTTTCTCTTTAGGAACAAACTTTGATCATGAGGGACATTTTTTTAAAAAAAAAAAATTTTATACGCTATGTAGGGATTATTTGATAATTGATCCATCTGATTACTGGAGGACTCTGTTGATGTTCCATATTTGATTTAGGAATAATCAGAAGCTAAGAGCAGTTAAAATGTTTGTGGTTAAGAATATATTCTATCCATATCTGAGATGTGATTAAGTTTTTAATTTAAAAATGCTTATGATAATATGCATTTCATTCCTATGTTCATTAATTTGGGGGATTGTGGAATTTGCTAAATATGGAGTGAACTGGGTGTCGTCTGAATCGTTGGATATATAAATGAAAGGATAGTTATCTGTAAATGCCTTCTATCCATCCTTCTGCCTGGTCACCCCTGGCTTGGAATTAAGTCTAGAGAAGGTTTTATTCTGTCTTTCATTTCCTTTGCCTTCATGTTCTTTCTTCTGCTCAGCCCCTGCCTCCCTCCAGGTGTGTGGAAAGTTGTCAGTCCGGATTCATGAAGGTGGCTCAGGAAGGGAAACCCACCTGCTGCTACGACTGCATTCCTTGTGCAGAAGGGACCGTCTCCACCTTGGAAGGTAGGTGGCTTCAGGAAGGGCATTAAAATGTGCTTCTAAAGTTGGGTCTTTCTTCAAGATTCTTTGCTGAATATCCTCTGAAATTCACAATGTGATCCAAGCTAATCTGTACTCGTTGGGAATAATGTAGAATCAAGAACTTCATGGTGGATAGTGTTGAGTCAATCACACTCTGTCCCTCTCATCAAGTGCACAGGGTTTTTGAGAGGATAAAATGGGACTGATTACAAAAGGAAGCATCAGGGTCAAATTATGACACAATTGTTATTCTTCTCCATCTCGGATTCAACTTACCTGACATCCTTATTATATTGGAACTTTAAATAAAAGCTCCTTCAGAGTCACCACAATCTGCTTTATTCTTTATTCTTTACACAGTGGGTAGTATATTCTACTTTTAAATTAGATGGATCAACAAAAAATTATTTTGTGAAGTGCAAAGCCCTGGGAAGAGATGGCTTGGAGGTTCACTTGCAAGGTCAATGTGAGGAATTCACTAGACATCTGTTGGATAAAGTCACTTGGATTTGCTCCAAATTGGATTCTAGTTTTGAAGCAGGTTCCATGGAAGTGACTGAGGCTCAGTCTGGCTTGGTTATCTGGGAGGAATTTGAACCTATTTGTCCTGATGACTATTTGGGACTATTAACTGGGCCACCTTCATCTTAGGTCCATGTCCCTCCTGTTTGGCTAAGGCTTCCTGGGGAGAGACATCTGTTTGGGTTCTGGAGATGGTGAATTCTTCCTTAAGAAAGGGGGTGGTTCTGCCATCCCTTCAGGAGGCAGTTGTTTGCCCTGTCCTCAGGAAGCTATTGCTAGACCCAACTGTGCTAGACTTTGCTCAAGCTTCTGTCAAATCTCCAACTTTTCTCTTATAAGAAAGATTGTGGAGAAGGTAGTCACATGGCAATTCCAGAGAACTCTGGAGGAAGCAGATTATCTGGACTCTTCCAGCTGAGTTTCAGACCTGGGGCACAGAACTAAAATGGCACTGATTTCACTTCTAGATGAGCTCTGGTGACAGTTCAATGGGGCTGGTGTGTCCATCCTTGTTCTTCTTGACATCTCACTGGCACAAAAGAGGCCGACTAAAGTTCACCACAGATTATAGGGGTTGGGAGTGGGCTGCCCTATGTTGCACTGGTTCTCTTCCTTCATCTGGGGCTGGTTTTCGTTGGTGTTCATGGGGGAAAGAAGTCTAGGGCATAGCTCCTGATTTGCTCCCCACTCCTTTGGTTTGGACTGGTTGAGGTCATCCAACAGCATGGAGTGCAGCATCATCAATATGCCTTACCTAGGTTTATATCTCCACTCTTAGCCCACCAAGTAATGCTATGGGGATTCTGTCTACGTATCTGGAGGCTATGGATGTTTGAATGGGGAAGAACATAGTGGCTTTGAGTTTATGGCCTCCCATTTCAAGGCCATACCAATTGAAATGAATAAATATGTAGAAAAGCAGTGGATTAAAAAAACCCTCAAAAATGTTAATTGTATTGCATCATCAAACTATTTGCTAAGGGTTCTTTTTTGTTGTTTATTGTTTTATCACTTGTATGACTTTTTTCCTTCTTCATTTTTCTCCTCTGTTTTTTGGTTGTTTTTCCTTCTATTTTAGTGTGCATTGTTTAGTTTAAATATTTTTGGTCGTTACTTTTTAATAATAGTATAAATGAAACCAAATCTCTTAGCATTGCTCTTATTCACTATTACCTGCAGTACTTGGATTATTGCTTGTCTTGGTTCAAAACTTGAGTAAATATATGTATATATGTAGGTCTGTATGTATATAAAATAGTGTGTGTGTGAGAGAGAGAGAGAGACAGAGATAAATAGAGAGGGGATGAAATTGTGATTTTCTCCAGCCACAGCTAGAGCAGACATTCTCCACTGTCCAAGTTCCACACTTTTCTGATGATACAGAAATTAAAAGTCTCCACCCCCACCCCAAATGGCATGTCAGAGCACAGTTGACACAAAAATGTCAATATTGCTGAAATACCTATATCTATATCTATTTGGGAAAATTAACTTACTAGCAAAAACAAATATTAAAAAGGTAGAATGAGGGAAAAAATCAACAAAAAGATTAAAATGGAGGGAATTTCTCCCCAGCCCATCAAAAAAAGAAAGAAAGAAAGAACAAAGAAAAAGAAAAAGAGAAAGAGAAAAAAAGAAAACCCCAAAACCCTCTACCGCTCTAGGTAGCAACTAATATTACATGTCTTCTTCCAATGAATTTCATCAGTCCTAACCCTGTTTGTTATCTCTAGAAATTTCCCCACTCATCAGCATGCATGCATGTACAAACTAGCCTTTTCAGAGTTTGCTGTCTTGTTTTGGGGTATCAGTATATTTTCACACACTCACAAAATACAATGGGTTGTTCAAAAACAAGCAGTATAGTCAATAAATTATTTTATTTCTATCATGTTTTTATTGCTTGTTGTATACCACTTAGAATCACTGTATGAGATGGACAGCCATGAAAGTTTTATAAATTAAATCAATCAATCAATAAATCAGGCCCGTGTTCTTCTCTTACTCTTGTTCTTTACAGATGCAGAACAATGCACCCAATGTTCCAAAGATCAACATACAAACAAATATCGAAATCAGTGTATCCCTAAAAAAGTGAATTTCCTCTCCTACAAAGACTATGTGGGGATTATCCTGGCTTCCATTGCCATGTTTTTGGCCTTAACCACAGGCTTTGTTTTAGGAATCTTCATTAAATTCCTAGAAACTCCCATAGTCAAAGCCAACAACCGGGACCTCTCCTATATCCTCCTTGTATCCATCCTGCTTTCCTTCTTGACCACCTTCCTCTTCATTGGCCAGCCAAGGAAAGCCACCTGCCTTCTCCAACAAACAGCCTTCAGCATCATCTTCTCAGTTGCCGTCTCTTCTGTCTTGGCCAAAACAATCATGGTGGTGTTGGCTTTCTTGGCCACAAAGCCAGGGAACAGAGTGAGGAGATGGCTGGGGAGGAGCTTGGCCAATTCCATCATCCTTTGTTGTTCCAGTATCCAGGTTATCATTTGCTCTATCTGGTTGGGAGTCTCTGCCCCATTTCCTGCTTCTGACATGCAATCTCATCTGGGAGAAATTGTTCTGAAATGCAATGAAGGCTCTATTGCCATGTTTTATACTGCTCTTGGCTACATGGGCTTCCTGGCTGCCATCTGCTTCACGGTGGCTTTCCTGGCCAAGAACCTGCCTGGGGCCTTCAATGAAGCCAAGCTGATCACCTTTAGTATGCTGGTCTTCTGCAGTGTCTGGGTGTCCTTTGTCCCCACCTACCTGAGCACCAAGGGGAAGTATATGGTGACCGTGCAGATCTTCTCCATCCTGGCCTCCAGTGCTGGCTTGCTGGGATGCATCTTTTTCCCCAAATGCTACATTATTATCCTAAGGCCTGATCTGAATACAAAGGAGCTTCTAACAACAGCAAGAAAAGTAAAAATCTAAACTATATACAAAATGTTGTTTTCACTATTATAGTCCATCTTTTTGATTGAATGTGAACATTCCTGATGGGAGAAAAATTTCATTCTTTTTCAGGGAAAGTAAGGAGAGAATAGATGAATAATTGGATATATAAGCAGATAAAACATACAGATAAAATAAATCTGTAATAAGAATGATTAATAATATGAACATAAATGGGGGTCACTGGCTTTAGGGTCAGAGGTTTAGTTACTCATTCATTTATTTTGCTCAATTTGATGCTGCACAATCCCAAATGGCGGGCAGCTTACAATACATCAAAACAATATAAAATCAACACCAACACCAGACTAAGGAAAAACAATGCAACAACCCATCAACAAGTGACGACTTACAAGGGGGGCATGTTCTCTGGCTCTTTGAAACACCATCAGGGTGGGAGCCATCCAGATCCCAGAGGGAACCTCATTCTGGAGTGCAGGCATTGTGACAGAGAAGGTGCACATTCTGGGTCCTGAGAGATGGCCTCGTTTAATCCAAGGAACCCAACCCTGAAGCAGCCAGGCAGATACTAGAAGAGATAGGAATATCCTGGAGGAGGCAACGGTTCATTGGTTACCAGTGGATGTCCAGGCAGAACTGTGTTGGACCTATTACAGCTGACAGTGTTAGAGCAGTTCACACAGATCCTACTTAGAACTCTTAGTTTCTGGGCACAGGAGCGCCAGCCAGAAACTGGGGTGGAGGCAATAAGACTCTCTGAGGCAGCAGCCAAAAAAGCTGAGAAAGCTGCCAGAAGAGGGGAAACTGAGGATCAGAAGAAAGAAATGTTGGGGAAAAGCAATCCCTCTCCTCCCCAAAAAGGAGCCAGTGTTTCCTTCTTAAAAAGGGGAAGTATGAAGAGAGGCCCCTCAGGAAGACAAACGAAGCTTAAACAAGGCAGGTCCCATGAAATGTTTCAAACGTCGGAAGTCTGGTCATGGAAGCAAGACGTGCCCTAAGAAAGAGGTGCAAACAGCTAGCTATGTGAGGCTTCAGAGAACTGCACAATCCCTGGCCCTGGTCCCAGTCAGGAGCAAGAACACCACTCAGCAGGTTCCAGTTGACACAGGAAGTCACAAATCCCTAATCAGAGAGTCTTGGTTGGGAAGGTTGTCCCCAAAAGGAAGCAAACAGTCCAAAGCATCTTTGGGGAGTTCAATGTATTGTCGAAGGCTTTCACGGCCGGCATACGATGGCTGGTGTGGGTCTTCCGGGCTGTGTGGCCGTGTTCTGGAAGTTTTGTTTCC